CAACATATCACAAGCACAATACAGACAATACAGAGTTCCAAACAAAGTGGTAGGGAATTAACAATGGTGGTTGTATTACATATTGATATCTTCAAAGTGTGTAGCCTGAAATTTCTCAAAATGTTTTATCTTCACTATTTTAGTTGCTTTCTCTAGAATTTCAAATTCTTTTGCCAAACTATCAACCTCTTGAAGTTTCTTCTCATTTAGAACCTTAATGATGGCACAGCCAACAGACGTTTCAAACAACACCAACACAGTGAGATCGGGTCAGGGGTGGTGTGGCCCACCATGAGCTTGTAGGCCAGCACACAAAGGGCACTTCTATAGCCACTAAAGCACAGCTAAGCTCTTAGCTGACAAAGCACAAATACACACACTTTCCTGCAAAGAATCTGATTGTGTTGCCTAAACGTTCTGACCCTAATTGCACGCAGAACGTAAGTCTGTGCTTCAACTTCTCTAAGGATTCTTACAGTAACATTTTAAAAGCATTGCCAATTTGTTTTGAGGTCTACTACTAAATAAGTGCAAAACTCATTTTCTGTAGAGTAAGACTATGATTTACTTGAAAATACTGCTGAGCCTAGGCAAAACAGGTGGCAAAGTAGACAATAACCCATCTTAGGGGACATCAGAGTAAAAACTAGGTATGTAGAAAAAAAGTCTACTGACTCTTTGCTATATTATTTTAAGAAAGGAAGCAAGAACAATTAAGAATCAATTACAGCTTCAAAAGAAATCAGGAGGTAAGACCAAGATAATTACATATCATTTTCTGTGAAGGTTTTTCTCTGGCTGTTTTCACCTGAATTTCTATCTATGGAAACAATTCAAAATGTATTTCTCTGAGGCAAATTGTTTTTAGCTACAATCTTTTAATTTTTTTTAGTATCAGAAATAAAAGTTGGGGACAATTCCCACATATGTATATTTTGTTTCTGTAGTACAAGGGGTTGAACCCAGGGAGTTCTGAGGTACATCCCCAGCCATTTTTTAATTTTTAAAATTTTGAGACAGAGTCTCGCTATATAGTTCAGGCTCATCTTGAACTTACTACACAGCCAGCTCAGGCTGGAACTCATGGCAATCCTCCTGCCGCAGCCTCCCAAGTGCTTGGATTACAGATATGCACCACCACGCCTAGCTGCTGGCCTTAAATTTTTGATCTTCCCTCTTAGCCTCCTGAATAGCTGGGATTATAGGTGTGTACCACCATACCCAGCATACTTCTACTGTATTTTTTTGTTTAAACCACTTGATAAATTGAGATCACTTCAGACCATTATATAGTTATAGAGGCACTATTTTTGAAAAGAATGATGAAATTATTATTTATAGATGAATATGCTGATATTGAGAAACAACTGAAAAATTCTTCAGCAAGTATTCAAAGTAGCTAAATAGAAAAAAATACATTAAAAAGATCAACATGTTTCCTATACATCTGTAATAATTGATTAAAGTAAAGACAAATTAAAAGATTTTATTCACAATAGCAAAACAGCCACAAATTTTGGCCTACAAAAAACCTAATATCCAATTTTACTTAACTGTGATAGCCATGGACCTTTCCGGTGAGACCCAGATACAAGGAACATGGTCAGCGGACACCCTCCAGCTTCAGCCCCGGGGGCCTGTGCCCTGTGTACACAGGACTCGTGCTCCCACGGGCAGCTGCTCACCAATGACTCAGCTGGCAGGGTCACTGTGTCACACCCTGGACTCCTCTGCAGCAATCTGTGCACCAAGGCTTTACACTAGGTTGACTAAGACTTCTGAATCTCTTTCTACCCAATTTATTCCCTTTTCTTTTCTCCTATCATAGATGAAGCCGTGGTGGCTTCTGATGTAGCCACCTCCTCTGTCTCCAATCCCTTTATTTTTGTTAAGTGCTGCCTCAATAAATTTCTTGCACTTTGAACTCCAGTTTACTGTCTCCTATTGAAGAACTCATACTAACACAACTGGTCCTGGAAGTGGCCTGAGGAGGGACTCGGGCACAGGCTCACTTACCAGCCAACCTTTATCATTTGTGTTGTGCTTCTGTGATATCCCAAGGTCCTGGCAGTTTGGTTTGGTTTGGTTTTGGAGTTGGCTACGGAACTCCTGGCCTCACACATACCCCATGTGTTTCCGCTATCATTACTTTGCTCGACCTCCTGTGGATTCAGAGTGTAAAGGAGACTGTGGCACCTCTGACCTCATGTCTCTCTTTTAGTAGCATTTCAGCAGTTTCATTTGAAATTCTATTTTCAGGCAGAGAATTATAGGACTATTATTCCTCTACCCTACTGATTTCCTGAAGGCACAGAAGCCTGTGTCTTAGTTGAGGAAACCCAAAGTAAGGAGAAAAGAAAGCCTCATACTTGGCTTTCAGTTACTTTTAGCTTAAAAAACAAAAAAAGGTTTTCAAGACCTAGCCTTTGCCTTTTTAATTATTTCCTATCA